GTGGGCCTTCACTTTTGTTACGGGGTGCAGAGAGAACCTCGGCTCCACGCCCTCCTCCCCCTCTCTTCCTTCACCGACCTTGGTGTCGGTGTTGTTCTCAGGTTGCACTCCTTTTTTCTCTCCTGCAGGTTCCTTCTGATGGTTCTGATGAATTCCCGGCTCTCGCTTTCGTGCTGGAGCTGCAGCAAGACTTAAGCTTAAGTTGGTGCAGGGCCGAGGTCGGGGTCTGGGCCGGGGACCAGCACAGCCGGCCGGGGCTGGCGCCGAGGCTGGCGCCGGGGTCGGAGCAGCGCCACCGGCACCCGGTGCACTTCTAAGAGATGGGTCTGACATTGGAGCCGGGGAACCTTCCTAGTAGCTTCTTACAGGGTTCTCTCCATACCCCTCCCCCACTACCAAAAGCAAAACCAAAAACCTCTCGCAGAAAACCGAATACAGCTGGTCTTTAGTCTTTCTCAAATAACTTCTTAATGTAGGTAAATAATCAAAGAGTTTGGAGAGATTTTTAATGGGGAAAAGAAGCAAATATCTTTATGTCTACAGAGTAGACAAATGCATTTATAAAAAAAAGGAACAATGTGTAGTTGATACACATACTACAGGTGTTCAAAAAAATAATAAATAAAAAAATATGGATTAAGACGTTTAGTTACATGCAGGTTATCGCCTTACACCCTTTACTATCAGATCTGATTACTATGCTCTAAAGTTTTGTTTAAAGTACAGTCATTACATTTATTTCCCTGTGAACTGCTGGGTACATTCTGATGATTTTCAACCTGAGAATGTACCCAGTGAAGTAATACGTAAATTAAAATACATCTCTCTTTTTTTTTTTTACCTTGTTAGATCAAAATAGAGATTAAATCATAATACTGGCTTTTTTGTCAGTGATGAAAATTCCTCCAAAAGTATTTAAATTGAGGAAATATTGTATGTGCTGGGAAAAGATTTGCATCTTCCATATAAAGAATACTGCCTTTAGATATTACAAGTTATTTCTGCTGATAGCTATGTTCCACACGAAAGATGTCATGTACATTTAGCCTTATCTTGTTATTGCACTTCTGCTTATACTTCATGCAAGCTATGTCCCAAGTCTTGCTTGATATATTTAACTTTTATTTCTGAATTTTAATATTTGCACAAAAGTATGTTTTGTTGAGCCATATTCCATAATCTAGCTAGTAGATTTCTATTTTCAGATCTGGAGAAATGACTGAAGAGTTGGGAACACGCACAAGTCGCAGGCTTCCCCCCGCCACTGCCCCCCAGTTAATAGAATAAGAATGCCTCTGGCAATATTACAAATGTTTCAACCTAAGACCATTTCAAAGAGGTACCCTTGATGTTTTTTCAGATTCTTGCAGGTAATTTCAGCGTAGACATTGCCTTTCGTTTTCAGAGCACTTGCTCTGCTCTCTGATGCAGAAAGGATAGGTTCTGTTTCCTGGTTTAAATTTGGAGGGAGTGGAAACATGAGATCAGAGGAGATGGATGGGTGGATTATTACAGTAGGTAAAACAAATGGTGACAAGTAGAGGGAAGTAACTAACCAACATGTGCATGAATGCATGAACCACTTCTCATTAATAAAATTATCAACTATTGGACTTCTGTTGTATCAACTTTTGTTGATTTTTCTCTTCTTCTTCTGTCCCAGTGTTACTCATTGTCAACCAAGACTGTGGTTAAGGGAAGGTAGAAAGGGACTCAGTCTAAAGTGGTTTGAGGAACAAGAGCCAGTTTGAGGGAATAGCTGCTTTACAGGAATCAAAAGCATGGGCTGCAACACAAGAGGTGTGGCCAGCAGGGCGAGGGAGGTGATTCTGCCGCTCTAACTCTGCTCTGGGGAGATCCCACCTGCAGTGCTGCATCCAGTTCTTGGGCCCTTGACATGAAAAGGTCACCGAGCTGAAGGAGCAGGCCTAGAAGATGCTGTAGCAGATGCACCACCCTGCTAAGGTCCTCAAACACAAACAGCGAACAGTGCTCCCTCCCCCATCCCGGTTGCTGTCTGGTCCACACGATGGGGGCAAAAGGCAGGACAGTTGTGGTCCTCAGCCAATAGGAGGCTGACATGACCACTTTTGACCTCAGAGCAGCTTCAACCAGGGTATAAATAGGGTACAGAGGGCCTTTGAGTTAGTCCTCTTCAGAGAAGCAGGCCTGCGTTTGGAGGCTCTCACTGCGAGTTAGAACACTTCTTAAGGTAACTTCTTGAGATTGAGAGCCCGTCCCTTTTTAGGTGAGGGAGTGGGTACACATTTTGGATTATTTGCCCTAAAACAAATTCTAAAAAGAATTCTTACCTCAGCTGGGTGTGATGATATTCCCAACCAGCATATCAAATCTGTATTAAATGTCAGTGGAATGTTGTTTTGGTGAATGAAGCTTTGGCTGCTTGATTTCAGTTGCAGATTAGAAGTTTGTTTGAGTTTCTTATGTGTGTGTGTAGCCCTCTTGGTGTGATTTTGTGGTAGAAGGCCAGGAAGATGATCAGAGGGTTGGAGCACCTCCTCTATTGGGACAGGCTGAGAGAGCTGGGACTGTTCAGCCTGGAAAAGAGGTGGTTTCAGGGAGACCTTATTGCGGCCTTCTAGTACCTGAAGGGGTCCTACAGAAAAGCTGGGGAGGGACTTTTTACCAGGGCAGGTACTGACAGGACCAAGGGCAATGGTTTTAAACTGGAAGAAGGTAGATTTAGACTGGATATTAGGAAGAACTTTTTTACTGTGAAGATGGTGAGACACTGGCACAGGTTGCCCAGGGAATTTGTGGATGCCCCCTCCCTGGAAGTGTTCAAGGCCAGGTTGGACAGGGCTTTGGGCAACCTGGTCTGGTGGGAAGTGTCCCTGCCCTGGGCTGTTGGAACCAGATGATCTTTAAGGCCCTTTCCAATGCAAACCATTCCATGATTCCATGATGCCATGATCCCATGGTTCTGATCTCAACATGGGATGGACTGCAACATCTCCAAGCGACGGACTGTGACACAAAATCACAGAATATTAGGAGTTGGA